GGAAGGAAGGAAGGAAGGAAGGAAGGAAGGAAGGAAGGAAGGAAGGAAGGAAGGAGCGTCGGAAACGGCTGCAGAGGCTCTCCTCTGAGGGTTAACAAACGGAGGGGATAAAATGGGACAGGGAGGAGAAGCGGGGAAAGAAGCCAGAAAGTTTACCATCGCACAGCCGAGAGGAACGAGAAAGCGCGGAGCTGCGGACGCCGAGCCGGCACGTTCTCCACCCAGCCTCGTGGCGCGCCTGCCAGCCGCCTTTCCCTCTCTTCGCTTATTTATTTCAGGGAGCCGGCGCTGCTGCAGTCTGTCCCGCCTCCGCTTGCCGTCCACGGGTAGGTAGCCAGCAGCAGCGGGGTCCTAGCGCTCCCTGCCGCCTTGCGACAGGGTAGGGCACTCCGGGAGGAGTCCGGGAGCTCCTCGGGTCTCCCTGGGCTGCCTCCCCACTCCCGCCCCGGCCAGGACTTGGTGCGCGATTCCACGGCTCCTGAGTGGGGTCCGATCCTACGCCCTAACTTTACGCCCCATCAAATTAGCTTGCAGGATGCCCCCTAAGTCGTCGTCGTTTTTAATTGATTAGCCTTAAAGAGGTCCCAAGTCTCCTCCTAATAAATCTGGTTAGCCTTCAAGGTGCTACAAGGCTCTGGCAGGAGGATGGCTGGATGACTCTAGAAGGAAAATGCCCTTTGGAACAAAATCGTTTAATGTTCATGCAACAGTTTTTTTTCAGTCCACTAACCTGATTACCTTGGGACATCTCTTCTCTGGCAAGGCTCGAACAATCACCTGCCAAACAGACAGGCAAAGCTGGCGGGTGAGGGACAGCTCCCTTCCCTTCCCACTTTGCTGTGACTTCTTGCCAGCAAAAGCATCACCTGTTGAATGTATGCCTATTTCCCAGCACACAAAGATGTAGCTGCCCTAATGCCAGGAATGGACATACTCAGTTTCAGGCTGCTTATGGAAGCGTGTAGCAATGGTGGACTGGCTGTGATTAGCTACTGTGCCCTGATGGGAAACCACAAACTCCAGCATTCTCACTTCAGCTGGTGGGAGGAGAAATGGGATAATTATTACAGTGCTAAATGACTGTGATGCTTCTTTGTATTATTAAATCGTTTTGGTACTATGGACTGTTTGGAGCATCTTTAAGAGAAAAGTATCAATAAATGTAATATTAAATATGTTTCAAGGGACTTCCGCCTTGCCTTTAAGGAAAGCGCTTCAGGGACCCTGGGAGTGATAGGAGCATCCTGTTAGCACCATTGATGCCCATGCAGTCAAAAGAAGAGAAGTAACCCACAAAGGGGATGCAAACAAATGTGGTCCTTCAGGCATGAAATCAACTCCAGAAGAAGGCAATGGAAAATCACTTTGGTACTGTTGCCAAGAAAATTGTATTGATGTGCCTGAAATGTTTAAGCAAGTTTGGGGTCCAGATGATGAGATAGCCCTCCCACTCAGGTCAGAAGGCATTCCTCTAGTTCCTGGGGAAGAACACTGAGCTAAGCCACAACAGAATCTGTTCATTGATAGAGCCAGGCACTTGTAACTGGAACATGAAATATGAGATGCATGAACCAAAGAAACTTGAAAAATGTCAAAGCACACTTGAAGCACACTACACTGGATGTTTTAGGAAAAAGTTTAGTTAGGTGGACCAGAATGGGCCACTAAATCAGATGTTACTTGAAACTTTCTTTGGGGCATGATAACACCATATAAAGGAATGGAGTGGCAATGATACTCAGAATAGACATAGCAAAATATGTGTTCAGTAATAACCCCCAAATTAGATCCAGCCCATTAGAATTAATGGATATCCAATGATTTTAGACAAGTATATGCACTTACCACAGATGCAATAGTGGAAGACATGGAGTTATTCTGTGGCAAATTGCGTGGGGTGCTAAATGAAGCAGCAAGAATGGAGGCATAACTATTAATGGATAATTGGGATGCAAACATTGGAGAAATTGAGGAACCTGCAATTTCAGGAAGATTTGAACTGGATGAATGCAATAAGGTAAGCAGAAAATAGGTTAATAGAGTTTTACAAAGGGAATTCTTTGATAATTGTCAACAACAATTCCAGGCAATATAAATGCAGACTCTATACATGGATATCACTGGGTAGAGAAAATCAGAATTCAGTTGAAAATATAGTAAAAACAAAAACCAGGAGATGGAGAAATGCAATCCAGGATAATTTCAAGTGCAGATTCCATGTCAAACTTAAGATAAAATTTAGGAACCTAACAGTAGGTGTACTGTACAAGATTTGACTTGAACAACAATGGAAATAATAGATTCAATATGCTTAACATATGTGAAACAGAACATGATAAATTATGGGAAGAGATAAGAGATATTGTGATTACTGAATATTCAAAACTGAAGGAGGAAAAGATCCAAATGGTTTTGACAACAGCCAAAGGAAGATGAAGGATGAAAGTCTTGTCAAGTAAAAAAGGACAAGGAAAGA